ACCATGCATTGTGTGAAGAGGCACTTCCAACTGTCTGTCCTGAATCTATTGCTCATCAGTCCCATCGGGAAACCCTTAGCATTATAGGACTGACTCCATACCTCCTTTTTCCAAACTAGGAACACCGTTATATTCCTTTCTTGGTCTTGTTTTCCCCCCTCTAAAATCTCCCCAATTTTTTTTTTTTTTTGTCTTCCCCTTTTAGAAAACACGTTCCAGTCCCTAATTGATTTGGGTTGCTCTTTTCTCCTCCTCGGGCGCTGAGAACAGTAGACAGTTTCACAAGGACGCCGGTATCACATAATTAAACAAACGCATTATGACACTGGCTATTTGATCTCGGTCTCTTTCCTAATAACCCTTCACATAGACTGTGCCCTTTATCATCGCTGTTGCTGCACACTGAGATGTGGTGTTCATCAAGTTGTAAAATACGATCTCAAGACCTTTTCCCTGGTCAGCTACCACCAGTTGAGAGACCCCATCAGGGTATTGTTAAAGGTGCCCCCCCCCATATGAAGCCTTTTCTGCTTACATCAAATGTCATTTGCACAGATGCATGGTCAAAGCAATGGTATTCCCAGTAGTCATGTATGGCTGCAAGAGTTGGACTATAAGGAAGGCCGAGCGCCGAAGAATAGATTCTTTTGAACTATGGTGCTGGAGAAGACTCTGGAGAGTCCCTTGGACTGCAAGAAGATCAAATCAGTCAATCCCAAAAGAAATCAACCCTGACTGTTCCCTGGAAGGCCAGAGACTGAAGCTGAAGCTCCAATACTTTGGCCCCCAAATGAGAAGGGAGCATTCACTGGAGAAGAAGACCCTGATGCTGGGAAAGATGGAAGGTCAAAGAAGACGGGGACGGCAAAGGATGAGATGGTTAGACAGTGTCATCGATGCAACGAACATGAAATTGAGCAAACTTCAGAGGACGACGGAAGACAGGAGGGCTTGGCAAGATCTTATCCATGGGGTCGCGAAGAGTCGGACTCGACTGTGCGACTGAACAACAACACATGATGGACATTGTTCCAGCCGGGTTACATCTTTTTTGAACTCTTCCCTTGGTTTTCACTGTGCTGAATAAAGGGGTGTCACTCATGAACCTGGACATTTAACAGCTGCCCTCAATATAATTTCAGAGCCATATAACACAGTGTTTGCTGCACAGCTCTTTGGAGAGACCCCAGGGTAATACAATGGTCAGAGCATTAGAACAGAAGAACCATGTTGGATCAGGCCAGTGGCCCATCCAGTCCAGCGCTCTGTGTCACACAGTGGCCAAAACCCACATGCCATCAGAAGCTCCACCAACAGGGCTAGAACTTCAGAAGCCCTCCCACTCTTGCCCCCCAGGCACCAAGAAGACAGAGCATCGCTGCCCCAGACATAAGAACACAAGAGAAGCCATGTTGGATCAGGCCAGTGGCCCATCCAGTCCAACACTCTGTGTCACACAGTGGCCAAAACCCACATGCCATCAGAAGGTCCACCAACAGGGCTAGAACTCCAGAAGCCCTCCCACTGTTGCCCCCCAAGCATCAAGAATACAGAGCATCACTGCTCCAGACGTAAGAACATAAGAGAAGCCATGTTGGATCAGGCCAGTGGCCCATCCAGTCCAACACTCTGTGTCACACAGTGTCCAAAACCCACATGACATCAGGAGGTCCACCAGTGGGGCTCCAGCTCCAGAAGTCCTTCCACTGTTCTCCCACATAGACCAGGAAGACAGAGCATCACTGCCCCAGACATAAGAACATAAGAGAAACCATGTTGGATCAGGCCAATGGCCCATCCAGTCCAACACTCTCTCACACAGGGGACAAAACCCAGGGGCCATCAAGAGGCCCACCAGTGGGGCCAGAACTCCAGAAGCCCTCCCACTGTTGCCCCCCCAAGCACCAAGAAGACAGAACATCACATTCCAGTGTACTGCATTTACTTAAAGATAAAGATGTAGTAAGATTGCTTCTTATATTTCAGTGCCAATTTATATTGTACATTATTCATGCATAATTGCATGGACACATTCAATAAGCTGCAGATCTGAATGAGATGGCACAATGTTCTCATCTCCTCCATATATCCATCTTCTGAAAACCCCAAGGACCACTTAATATGTGCCATCCTTCAAACATTTAATGTACAGTGGAAATCCCTCTTACAGAAGAGCTGAGAAGTCAACATATCCTTGTCACATGAGACCATCTGGCTAGGGCAGGTAAACACATTATAGGCTGCAGTTATTTCTGCCAGCTTTTGTCAGCAGAGTGCTATTTCTTGAATTCCCCCTCCTGTTGCAGAGTCAGGGGTCTGCAATGGGAGTGCAGAATTTGCAAAAGTGACTCCCATTAGTTGACGTTTTCTGCAGAATTCAACCAATACACACACACACAACAAGGACAATGATTGACTTCCTTCTTCTATCTAGGGATAACGGTGAATCTGTTTAAAGAGGATTCACTCTGACCACAGCTTTCAACTTTGGAGTGTGGATGGGGGGAGTGAAAATTTGCCATAAAGAATCTCAACAGCCATAATGAATATGGGCTTGAAAGAGCTGGATATCAGAATGTTATGTGAGCAACAGAGAAATCTAGACAAGCTAGACACCAAATTATATCATAACAAGAGCACTGCCAAGATTTGCTCTGAATGCAAACCACCACGCTACATTATAAGTCCCAAAGCAGACCTTCAAAAGACAGGGGTGTGTAAGGAAGGAAGGAAGGAAGGAAGGAAGGAAGGAAGGAAGGAAGATAGATGTCGGGTCCCCCCTGGTCACCAGCAGGGGATGGGGTGTAGGGTTGTCCGATCCAGGTTGGGAAACTCCTGGAGATTGGGGGGTGGAGCCTGGGGAGGACAGGGGCCCCAGTGGGGTACAACGCCATAGAGTCCACCCTCCGAAGCATCCATTTTCTCCAGAAAAACCAATCTCTGTAGTCTGGAGCTGTTATTCCAGGGGATCCCCAGGTCCCACCTGGAGTCTGGCAAGCCTAGACCAAGATCAAGATAATTCATGCCATAGTATTCCCCATTACTATGTACGGGAGTGAAAGTTGGACGATGAAGGGGGCATTTTTGGTCCTATTCTACATAGTAGCAACCTTTAGAGGTTCACTTTCAAGCTTAGGAGACCTGGCCCATAAAGAAACTGAACAATATTGTCTTGTAAAGAAATTGGAATGAGACTTTCTGTTGTGGCTCTTTGTTCCTGAGGAAGGACCAGAAGTCTGAAACACTGTATACTACCTAGGAAAAGTGTTGGATATCTACTTTGGACTTGATGCATTCTGTAGACTTCTATATTTCCTATGATGGATTTTATGTACAGATTTATTGCTGATTACATATGTGTTTCACTTTGCTGAAGTCTCTTTTTGTACATTTACTCTTGCGGGCATTTCAGCACACAGTTGTTATGCTGTTACTTGCCGATGAAGAAAACTGACAGGAAGAAAATTGATCCCTTGGAAATGTGGTGTAGGAAGAGGGTTTTACGGATACTGTCAACCACCAAAAAGACAAATAAGGAGGTTCTAGATCAAATCAAATTGATCAATTCAAATCTCTAGAACAGGGGTGTCGAACTCATTTGTTATGAAGGCCGGATCTGACATAAATGAGAACTTGTCGGGCCAGGCCATGTGTGTCATAAAATGTAATGCCAAGTAGCAGAGACAGAAACTTTATAAAGGACACAATTTTTTTTTAACTTAAAATAAAAACATGCTTAAAACATTAGCTCTGTAAGCTGAAAACCTGCTTTTGATTTTATTGACATTCACCACAGAAATCTCATGCTCAGAGTCCTGAGTCTAGGACCCAGGTTAAAACATGAAATGGCTGAGTGATTAAAAGAGTCCGGCGAAGCAAGCGATGATGCAGCAGCAGCAGCAGAACTGGAAGCAGGAGAGGGCCAGTTCCACTGCGGGCCTGATGGAAGCCCTCTGGGGGGCCTGATCCGGCCCCCAGGCCACATGTCTGACATCCCTGCTCTAGAAGCTAAAATGGCTACTGAGGCTATCGTACTTTGGTCACACGAAGGCTGCGATCACACACACACACGCTAAATAATCCAGTTTCAATCCACGTTCAGTGCGCTTTGAACTGGATTTTGCCAGTTCACACTGTAAAATCCAGTTGGAAAGTGCATCGAAAGTGGATTATTCAGTGTGTGTGTGTGTGAGATCGCAGCCAATAAGAAGACAAGACTCACTGGAAGAGACAATCGTGCTCGGAGCAGCTTAAGGCAGCAGGAAAAGAGGAAGGTCCAACATGAGACGGTTGGATTCAGTCAAGGAAGCCACGGCCCTCGGTTCGGGTTGCCAGCCTCCAGGTGGGGCCGGGAGATCTCCCGCTTTTGCAACCGATCTCCAGCTGACAGAGATCAGCCTCCCCTGGGGAAAATGGCTGCCTTGAAGGGTGGACTCCATGGCGTTGTACCATGCCGAGGCCCCTCCCCTCCCCAAACCCCGCCCTCTCCTGGCTCCACCCCCAAAGTCTCCAGGTATTTCCCAACCCAGGCCTGGTAACCCTAACCTCAGTTAGCAAAGCCTCAGCAAGGCCGGAATGGATGTTTTGGAGGACATGAATGCCCAGGGTCTCCGTCAGTCGGAAGCTGTAATTTTCCTTCATGGGTTGCATGCACCAGGGTTTCTGCGGCTTTACGAAACGTTTGCTTAAACTTGTTCGGCGGTTGCATCAGCGTCTCTTCTCATGCTCGGCACGGCTCTGTCTGGCCCTGACCGGTTGCCAAAGAGCCCGGCCTTACTTGGACCCAGCACGGGGACACAGTTCAGTCCTATTTTGGGAAGATTTCTGATCTGTAAATAGTTACGTTATTGACCTTCGAGCACGCAGGGAAAGGGGTGCCGTCTGCTCCAAAGGAGTGCTTCTAGCTGGCACGGATCCGACCCAATCATACTTCTCGGTGACTGACACCCCTCCGGTCTGCCTCCTTAAATTGCCACCGGCGAGGCTGGGACTTCTGAACTCTCTCAGCTACCAGGTTCTGCTACCTCCCTGTTGGGTCCTCCAGAAACCAGCCGGCTCCGAGCCCCCGAAAAGCCTCTCCCGGCAGCCATGGAAGGGTATTTCTCTGCGGTCCGCAAGATGGAGCACACGGTGATGTTCCCCAGCCTCCTCCGAGAGGTCTCCTTAGACGAGCACGACGGTGGGTTGCAAGCGGACTTGGGGGAGGGAGACCTGTACGAATCCTACACCCTGCTCAAATCCATCAAGCAGATGGCCGAGGGAGGCCTCTTGTCCGTGGCCACCCAGACTTCGCCCATCGCCCCCGGCCTGAAAGAACAGAAGGGCCAAGAGGGAGCCGACCTCGAAGGACTCTTCTGCTATCACGTCTCGGGCTTGTACCGGGTGCTCACGCGGCTCACCGAGCGGGCCAAGACGGTGACCTCCAGGTACAACCAGATCATGGGGCAGATCAACCACAGCGAAGTGTCTCTCGGCTGGTGAGGGACCGCAAAGGTGAGTCTTCCAAGAAGGCCTCCAATGCTTCCTTCCCCTTCCCCTCCCTCCCTTCTCAGGTGCTTGACTCTGCTTGGCAACTTTTTTCGCTGGTTTATGTCTTCCAAAAAAAGAGTCTGTCCTCTCACAGGAGGAGCAAAGATAGATTCAGGTGGGGTAGCCACGTCGGCCTGAAGCAATAGATCAAATTGAGTCCAGTGGCAACTGTAAGACCAACAAAGTTTAATTCTGGGTATAAGCGTTCGTGTGCACGCACACCTCTTCAGATACTGATGAAGAGTTGGGGCAAATGATCTGGCGATTTCCCCCCAGTCTTCCCCTTCAGGAGTCCACAAACTCTGAGGGGTTTTGAGTCCTTTCACTCCCTCGTTCATTAGTTTTATCTTCCCTTTTAACTGTTCCTCAGCTGCGCTCGATATTCTGTGCCCCTTGCCCTACGGATAGTCCTATGGATAGTCGTTTCCTGTCAGGCTATTCTCAAATGTCATATTCTTCGGTACCCAAACTACAAAGAATTGCTGCAAAACGTTCACAAATTCACAAAAACATGACAGTAATATGTAGACATTTTCATGATGTTTAAATTCCAAACGGACGTTGTCCGTTGAAAAAGTATTGTTGGTTAACTTAAGAGCTATTTATAGCCATTCTGAAATTGAGATTCCTAATAGTGGATTGCTTGGAAAAATTCAGCAAAACAGTTTTTTGATAAAGACCACGAAACGAACTCTGGAAACTCGAGATGTTCGTCATTTGTTGATCTGTGGAATAAAGAAGACATTTGGAATTTAAACATCATGAAAATGTCTACATATTACTGTCATGTTTTTGTGAATTTGTGAACGTTTTGCAGCAATTCTTTGTAGTTTGGGTTATTCAGATTGCTGTGCCCTTTATTGCATATTCTTCGGTACACCAGGGGAGTTCCACAACAAAGTGGAAACTCCTTTTTTTTTTTTCCGGGGAGGGAGGTGGTTTCATGGCTTTTTTGACTGGCATAAGCCACCCAGTTTATAGTGTAGTGGGGCCCTGTGAGGAACTGCAAGCCCTGAGGGATGATTTGGAAGCCTCTCACGACTTTTCCCACACCAGGATTCTATGGCTTAAGTCATATTTTAAGTCACATTTTTTCCCTGCATATCTGTGAATCTCTTCAGTCAGTAGAATAGTAAAAAGCCCAGTGGCACCTTTAAGCAATGCTCCCTCTAAGCTGTGGAGTCTTGTGAGCAAAAAAAATCTACTTTGTGAGCTACTGGCATTAAAGTTGTGAGCGAGCGATTTGGCTACTGCATAAATGAGTTTGCTCTGGAGCCCTCCTTCCTGAGCTAAGACAAAAAATGTGTGAGCTGGAGGCTAAAAACCTGTGAGCTAGCTCACACTCACTCAGCTTAGAGGGAACACTGCCTTTAAGACTAACAGACTTTATTGTAGATCCATAAGCTTTCGAGAAACACAGCTCTCTTCGTCAGATGTAGAGTCTTGTGAGCAAAAAACTACTTTGTGAGCTACTGGCATTAAAGTTGTGAGCGAGCGATTTGGCTACTGCATAAATGAGTTTGCTCTGGAGCCCTCCTTCCTGAGCTAAGACAAAAATGTGTGAGCTGGAGGCTAAAAACCTGTGAGCTAGCTCACACTCACTCAGCTTAGAGGGAACACTGCCTTTAAGACTAACAGACTTTATTGTAGATCCATAAGCCTTCGAGAAGCACAGCTCTCTTCGTCCGATGCATCGGACGAAGAGAGCTGTGCTTCTCGAAGGCTTATGGATCTACAATAAAGTTTGTTAGTCTTAAAGGCGCTACTGGGCTTTTTACTATTTTGCAGGAACAGACTAAAATGGGGCTAACTCCTCTGTATCTCAGTCAATAGAGACTCTTGACCTTTTCCGTGACTACGCTGGGTTTTCCCCCTGCTTTTGCAATTGCTGGGGTGGTGGGGACTGGCCACTTTACGTTCAGATGTGGTAACAATGGGGGGGGGGGGGTTGTCTAGAAATGGAACCCCCTGGCCAAATCGGGCCCCCTGCCCCCGTTTCCCAATTAAAGGTGTGGAGGTGAGGAGATTGTGGCCTCAGTGGCAGAATTTGCTGACAGAACACCAAAATTTCTCCTCAGCACACCGTGTTGCTGACTGTGTATGTGGGCAGGGATGCCAGCCTCCAGGTGGGACCTGGGGATCCCCTGGAATTACAGTTTGTCTCCAGACAACAGAGATCAGTTCCCCCTGGAGAAAATGGATGCTCTGGAGGGTGGATTCTGTGGCATCGTACCCCAATGAGGCGTCACTCCCAAATCTCCAGGAGTTTCCCAACCAGGATCTGGCAACCCTGCCTTTCTACCCCCCCCCCCCCCCCCGGGGCGCCCCCCCCCCCCCCGCTGGTGCCCAGGGGGGACTTGGCAACCCTAGATTGTGTGATGTGTGTGTGATGAACTGGAAATTCATGCCTTTCTCTGATCACTCGTTCCACAGGGCCACTGAGGCGATGCTCATCCCAGTGTCTCTTAAACGGACTCCATTTTGAAGGAATTGTTTAAGCGGCGGACACCCAACGGTCCGGATGGCCTGCCAGCCGAACAGGGTTGCGTGAACAGCAGCGATATCTGAACGTTTCCAGCACGGACTCTGATGGACAAAAAGGAGTTCCCACTGGTGGGCTCCGGTTTTCTTTCCGACGTTTCTGTTGTTTGTAAAGCACTTGTAATTTATAAAAATAAAGCTTTTTGTACCTGCAAGTATATTATTAACGGTGGGTAATAAGCCCGCAGAACTAATAAAATGGTTTGTTTTTCTTAAGGAATGGTTGGGTTTTTTATTGCTGACTATAATTATTATTATTATTATTATTATTATTATTAAT